ACTCTTTCACCATGTTTTGCACAACATGGGGGGGAGTAGGGGTTGACCGCTAAACCCCCAAAGACCGGCGCTCCGGGGGGGGGGGCGGGGGAATTCTGGGGAGTTGAAGTCCACGCATCTTCAAGCTGCCAAGGTTGAGAAACACTGGTTTAGAGTTTTGAGGAAACTGGAAATGACCTTAATGCTGTTTCCTCCGTGCAGTCTGATGAGAGAAGGGTGATTATTTTGCTAGGTGTGCAATGGAGTGTGTGTAATTTTGTAGATAGTCAAAGCCGCATGATTGATTGGTGTCTCTTGCTGTTTACAGAGATCAAAACATCTCAAGGAAACTGGAGGGTCTTTGCAGATTGTGAAGCGGAGTTTCACCCAGCCTGGCCGACAGACTATGCTCTGGCAAGTCCTGCAGAAGGATGATGGTGGGAATACAGATATTTTGGGTAAAAAAGTCTTCTTGGATCCGGCAGCTCTAGTAAATTTCAGTGGACTGAATCTGACATTTTAGAAGGTCAAGGACTTCATAGAAAGATGGCTTTCCTTCATAAAACATAAATGGTTTTAATCCCTCCCTATTTATTTTAGCTGAAATATAGGCCTGAGAAGATATATGAAAAATAGTCAGGTTAAATGGGTGGAGATCACCTAAGTCCCTGTGGTGCTGTGGCTTCTCCCCTCCCCTCCCCTCCCCCCTCCCTCTTCCACCCATCCTGTGTGCTTGTGACACTTTGAGGAATATCTAAGACCAATATAAATCTTCCTTATTACAAAGTCTCAGGCAAGGGAGAGAGAGTGGTGTTATGTCATACTAGGGGTTCCATGATTCTGTTCCCAAGAAGAACAGGAGTAAGCATAACTGACTGGGTCTCTACTAGATATCTGACAGCCTTGAGAAATAGTGCAGACAAGAAGCACACACAGAAGTACTAGCTCTCCTTTATTGTAAGATTACATTAATAGAATCTTGCAAGCCTGAAAGTACATTTCTCCCCTGTCCCCTTTAAAGCCCAAGAAACTAAGAAGGGTCCCTTCTGAGACATTCACCATGTCCATGTTCCTTCTGCAAGCTACGTTGCTGCTTATCTGACCATTGCCCTGGCTTCAGCTCCTCCCCTGTCTCCCAAGGTCATTCCCACATGCAATCACAACATCCTTACTCTAGTCATCTGAGATGAACATTCTTCCAACAGAAGAGAAAATCTGTAGCTCAGGGTTGAACTGTGCCCTGATTATGTTGCCTAGTTGGGTAATGAAATGTCTTCAAGCAAACAACCAAGCTCAGAGAGCACCAAGAACTCCACATGAATACACTTATAGGCTGCAGTGGAGTGAGATTGTGAAGCCATCTTGTTCTAGGACTAGCCCTTCTTAACTGGCATTATCATAGAATTGGCTTTGGTGACCTGTTCAGCAGAATCCCAAGATAACTCCTGATTAGGAATCTCCATATCAAATCCTATCAATGCATATTTGAAATTATCATGTTCAAATTTATATGCTAAAGATAGAAAGGATGATTTGGTGCTCCGTATTTTTTTAAAAGGAGGGATTTAATATGATCAAGGAGATGGAAAGATGAAAATAATGGCAGTAACTTAGAGACTATGTTCAATAGACAACTAGAAGCTTTACTAAAAGAAGGTAACAGATCATGAGCAAAATTTGTTTCTCTTTCTTCAGGAGATGAAATGGAAAATCACATCAAAGTGGAACTTCCTCTGGGTGAAGAAACTGAACTGGAGGGTAGATGCCAGACAGAATCTCATATAAAATATGGCCATGCACCCATGCCAACTGAGACACAGGAGGAAATGTGCAAGTCTGAAGAACAGCTGGGGAAATTATCAGTTGGAATGCACAATAAGTGTATTAAGTTTGCAGAACATCTCACGGCTTCAATTAGACAGCCTTCTGAAGTACTAACGGGAAGGGAGGTAACCATGTTTCCCAACTGTGATAGAAGATATCACTACAAATTAGAACGTGATGAGACACACACTAGTGAGGATTTTCAGAACTGTCCTATGTCAGCCATAAACCTCCCACACAATGTATATATTAATAAACTGGACAAAACTATTAGAGATGGGGGACAGTGTGAATTAACTAAGCAAAGTGATGGAGATACTGTGAATTGTTATCGGAGTTATCACATAGTAAAGAAACCAAATGACTCTTCTAAATGTGGGAAGAGCTCGAGTTATACAAAGTCATTAAAAACAAATCAAGGAATTCCAAGTGAAGAGAGACCATACAAATGTTCTCAGTGTGGGAAATACTTCAGTCGGAGAAGCACTTTGAAGACACATCAGAGAATTCATACTGGGGAGAAACCATACAGATGTTCTCAGTGTGGGAAAAGCTTTATTCAGAGAGTACACTTAAAGAGACACCAAAGAACTCATACTGGGGAGGAACCTTACAAGTGTCCTCAGTGTGGGAAATGCTTCAGTCAGAAAATAAATTTGATCTACCATCAAAGTATTCATACTGGAGAGAAACCATATAAATGCTCTGAGTGTGGGAAAAGCTTCCGGTGGAGTAAATGTTTGAAGATCCATCAGAGAATTCATGCTGGAGAGAAACCTTACCAGTGTTCTCAGTGCGGGAAATGCTTCAGCCAGGGAGGAGATTTGAAGAAACATCAGAGAATTCACACAGGAGAGAAACCATACAAATGTTCTGAGTGTGGAAAAAGCTTCAGTCGGACCGAACATTTGAAGAGTCACCAAAGAACTCATACAGGAGAGAAACCCTACCAGTGTTCTCAGTGTGGGAAATGCTTTATTCTCACTGGAGACCTGAAACGCCACCAGAGGACTCATACCGGGGAGAAACCATACAAATGTTGTCAGTGTGGGAAATGCTTCAGTGCGCAAAAAAGCTTGAAGAAACATGAGAGGATGCATACTGACAACATGAAAGTCATTGGTATGAGAAAATCTTCCATGAGAGAATCTGTCGAAGAGCAGGAATATCACATGCCCCAAGGGTGGGAGAAATTTCTGGTGGGGAGAGAGGGATTGGCAACTCCGCTTGCCAACTGAAAGTAGAGATTCATAAGGAGAAGTGGCCAGTACAAAGGGCATAGGACTTGCTGATTTGTATATATAAATATGTTCAACAGTTTAGAATAAAAAAAGAGAAAAAACCACAGGCCATTTGACATTTGTTTTTTTCTCTTTGGTGTCATACTCAGAAATCAAAATGTAAATTAATTATTGCATTGCTGCAGCATCATTTCAGGGGGGTGTGGTGGCGCAGCGGCTTAATGACACTGAAAGTTGCTGGCCAGAAATGGTCAATACTTCAGTGGTTCGAGCCCAGCTTCGCGCAGCAGAGTGAGCTCCTGCTTCCTCCCCAGCTCCTATCAACCCAGCAGCTCGAAAACTTACGTGAGTAGATAAATGGGTCCTCTCACTCCGGTGGGAGGAAAAATGCTGGCGGCGCTTTGCAAAAGGAGACAGGAGCAGTTGCCGGTAGCGCAGAAACCGCGCACACCCGAAAAAGGCGCGAAGCAACAGAAACCCCGCCTCCTGCACTCGCTGGCTGGGCTCTGCTTTAAGAAGGAGGCAGTGGCAAACCACTTCCGAAACACCTTGCCTTGAAAACTGCAAGGACTCGTCCAGGCAGTCACCGTAGAATCAGTAACGAGTGTGGATAAAAAAAAAAAAAATCATTTCTGCTTTCAGCATGAGAAGAAAATTAAACTTTAACTAAGTCCTTGTAAAGAAAATGGGGAGAGAAGAGATTTTTGTTTATCTGCCTTGCCCTGAGATTACTGGTCTGTGTCTCAACTTACTGTATATTGCCTAGCAGTGGCTCCCCCTTAATTTACAGAAGGGTCTTTTCTAGGCATCTTGTGCATTGGCAGCAATACTTGGGAGGACCACAGGATGGTAGCAGAGCTTGTAACGTCAGTGTTTCTTTGCTGCCTCCTACTGGTTAGCTGGAGTATTGCGGTGCTGGTCTTCTCAAACCTTATTTGGAACAGGAGGAATCGTATTTGGCATCTCCTGCACCCAGAGAGCGTCTGTGCATTAAAAGCATGGGAAAAGGCTAGGGAGAGAATGATAACTAGGATTGTTTGCACATCATGCTGACCTGTGTTTACTGAATCATGATTACTCTAATGGCCTTAGTTTGCACAACACTGAACCATAAACCACATAGGCAAGGTTCACGCAGTACATTGAATCATAAACCAGGCAACCAGATTTTAGTCTAATGCTGGTGTGAATTTCACTGCCCCATTTTAATATCCTCTGGTTGCATAGAGTGAAATGTCTTTTGTGTGGATTTATTTACTCCTGCAGGGGGACGCGGTGGCGCAGCGGCTTAATGACACTGAAGGTTGCCGGCCAGAAATGGTCGACACTTCAGCGGTTCAAGCCCAGCTTCGCGCAGCAGAGCGAGCTGCTTCCTCCCCAGCTCCTGTCAACCCAGCAGATCAAAAACTTATGTGAGTAGATAAATGGGTACTTTCACTCCGGTGGGAGAAAAAAATGCTGGTGGTGCCTTGCAAAAGGAGTCGGGAGCAGTTGCCGGTAGTGCGGAAGCCGCGCTCGCCCGAAAAAGGCGCAAAGCAGCGGAAACCCCGCCTTCTGCGCTCGCCAGCTGGGTTCTGCTCTAGGAAGGAGGCACTGGCAAACCGCTTCCGAAACACCTTGCCTTGAAAACTGCAAGAACTCGTCCAGGCAGTCGCCGCAGAATCAGTAACGATTGAGTGCAGATAAAAAAAAAAATCTCATTTCTGCTTTCAGCATGAGAAGAAAATTAAACTTTAAGTCCTTGTAAAGAAAATGGGGAGAGAAGAGATTTTTGTTTATCTGCCTTGCCCTGAGATTACTGGTCTGTGTCTCAACTTACTGTATATTGCCTAGCAGCGGCTCCCCCTTAATTTAGGGAAGGGTCTTTTCTAGGCATCTCGTGCATTGGCAGCAATACTTGGGAGGACCACAAGGTTTGAGAGGGTTCAGTCTGGGGAGATTCTGTCTAGAGGTTGTAGCTAATAAACACAGCAGAACTGAATTTGCACTGTCTCTTGGAGTTCTTAAATTGAACCCTAGCTCCCAAGCCAGCCAGCCACAACACTATGAATTCCTCAGGAAGGTGCCAGCCTCATCCTCCTGAACTTCCCACGCTCCTCCGATAAACTAAGAACATGCTTATCTCCCTGAGCCTGGCCTCCATAATTCCATTCCATCACAGAAGCCCGCGTAGTGGCAACACCAAAGACCATGGCTATTTCAAGGAGTTTAGGTGGCATATTTTGATTTCTCCTGCACAGATTAAGAAAGTTCACTTGGAGACTTAATAATGTTTTGCTGGCTTGTTTTTCACTCATGCTTGGCAGGGGGGAGGAAGGGAGGACCTCAAGGTTGTCTATACGGTTCCCAGACGTTCCAGGATTCAGTCGGGTCAGATGATGATCTAGTCAAGGTCAGGTCTTGCAGTTTTGGTGCCATGGAAACAGAGTCATGGGATCGCAGGGCCAGACTTTGATAAAGGCCCTGGCATTGCCCCTGGAGTCTGGGAGCGTGGACACAGGCCTTGTGTTGTCTGCTGCTTTGTCCTCTTTATCTGTCAACTTACAGTTGAACCAGCTTATTGGACTTGACCAGCCCATCCATCTGTATGAACCAGGAGACTGGGTGTACATCAAGACCTGGGGAGAAGCTGACCTGCTCCAGCCAAAGTGCAAAGGGCTGTACCAGGCTCTGCTTTCCACGCTCACCTCTGTGAAGGTGGAAGGCATCAGGACCTGGGTACATCATTCCAAGCTGAAGAGGGCTGATCCATCACCAGGGCAGGTTGACCCAGACTTTATCGATGGATCTCAGTGGAGTGTGGAACCTTCAGATCCCCTAAACCAGGGTTCCTCAACCTCAGCAACTTTAAGATGGGTGGACTTCAACTCCCAGAATTCCCCAGCCAGCCAGGTTGGC